CCAAAGTAGCGCAGAGCTGGCCGGGGCATTCGTGTGTGACCGAGTACTTTTCACACAGAGAGGACTTCAGTGCTGAAGGAAGTCAGTGAGAACCGATTCCAGGTTATAGGCATGCACGTCAGGGGATGACAGACATTGGTTAGGACTGATCCCAGGTTACAAGCATTCACATCGGGGGCTGAGGGACATTGGTGAGGACTGATCCCAGCTCACAGGCGTTCACGTCAGGGGCTGACAGTCACTGGTGAGGACAGAATCCTAGCTTACAGGCGTGTAGATTGGGAGCTCAGAACAGCTGACCATGACTCATTTCTGGTTTACCCCGGGATGAAACCCACCTCTCCTTCCTGACCGGCTGACTTCCATTCATGTCCTGCTGTGACATGTAGTCCAGCATCCTTGGGTCATGACACCAGGTGCACTGGCACAGGGAACGGTGGGGCATATTCCTGGGAATGAAGAGGACCCCGGGAGGCAGGAGCTTCTAAGCTAGAGTGACCGTCAGCTTCAGCAGGCCCCGCTGCACCTGAACCAGCCCGGGGCCTCCCAACACCACGGAAAGAGACCGCTGTGGCAAAGTTTACAAAATCCTGCCCGGGGAGCTCCCCGCTTGCGCATGGCAAGGACCAGGCAGGAGCCTCTCAGGGTCTGCGGGAGGCAGCGGCACCGCGGAGGCCCGGGGCACGCTGTCTCCAGCCTCGCTAGCTGGGCCATTGCTCTGCAGCGCCTGCACCCACGGATGCTTCCTGTCACACCTCATGCTACCCACGTTACCGCCAGAGCGAGGAATGCGCTCAGCCTCGGCCCTGAGATGGTCGTCTCCTTACTCAGCCCCTCTTCCCGTCCCTGCGGCGTCCAGGTGGCCTCTTCCCCGGACTGCCTTCTCCCCTCCTCTGCCCGCCCTTCCCTGCCGCCGTCCATCCTCCTCTCTGTCACCGGCAGGCGTTCCTCGTGCGCTCTGCGTGCTGACACCGTGCAGCTGGATGCAGCGCACGTCTCCCCCTCCGTCTGGCTCGCCTCCTGCCTCTGTGAAAGACGTGACTCTTCGCAGCCTTCGGACGTACCTTCTGGTCGCCGCAGAGGGATTGTCCCGTTTCTTCCACCGGTTTTTAAAGTTTTGCTTTTCATATTAAGCCTTTTAATCTGCCTGGAATCAACTGTGCGCCGTGTGAGGTAGGGAGCTCAATGGGTATGTCCTTTTTGTATGGATAAAAGCTTCATTGATTCAATATTTCCCCTCAAATGTGTTGGCTCTGCCCCTAATTTTCCGATTCCATTTCCGGTCTGCGTCTGGGCTCCCTCCTGTCCTGGTGATCTATCCGTGCAGCCTCGTGACAACACCACAGGCTTAATGACAGTGGCAAAGGGCGCCCAGCCCGGCCGGCCGTGTGCCCCGCTCAGCGTCCCTCAGTCCCGTGAGCTTCTCTTTGGCCTCCGTCCGCAGCGTCTGTCACCTCGCCTTTCCTGACGGTGTTGAACGGCTGCTTTTCTCATTGTTTTATTCAGCAGGCTTGCCAGAGGTCTACCCACCGCACTGCATTTTCCTCTACGAGCCAGTTTTGCGTTTCTGGGTGATCTCACTTTTTCTGTGTTCTCTGGGCCACGGATTTCTCTCCTTTATTATTTCTGTCTTCTGATTTCTTTAGGCTATGTGTTGTTTTTACTTAAATGCCCAGCTTACTTTTTCATCGTATAATAGATGCATCTAAGGCTGTAGACTTGAACTTTTCTCTTTATGTAACACTCCGCTCGTTGCTGATTCTAGTTTTATTGCCTTGTAGCTGAAAAGGGCAGGCTCTGCTGTGCTGGTTCTGTGAAATTCCCCGTATTGCCTGGTGTGTGGCCCAATTTTTAAATGATTCCATGTGTCCTTAATAAGAATTAACAATTAGGAATTGTTCATTGTAACAATCATAGCAATGTAACTGTCCAGCTGTTGGGGCAGGGTCTTTGTATACTTTACAATTTTGGTTCCAAATCTTCTACGTTAGTATGAACTTTAAAAACTCGGGCTTTTTGTGTCGATGGAGAAGTGCTGGCGTTTCCTGTCCCGACTGTGGATTTCGCCCCTTTGTTCTTCAGTCTGTTTTGGTTTCTTGCATTTTTATTCAGTGTGCCTTCAAAGTCGTGAATATTCATCTTCTTGTGATTGTGCTTTCAATTGTTTTCATGTTAATGAAACTTTTCATCCTCACTGATGAAAAATAAATCATGCTTTTGTCTAACAGCCTTCTTCATTTGTTTTGAAAATTTATTATCCCTGCCTGCCCCTTTCTGCTTCCCTCTTACCATAGCTCACTATTTTCCTGTGCTTAATGTGCGTCTTTTCATTCCTATGAACCCATGCATATGGGCACAAGTGTGTTTTGTGTGAATTTAACACTCTTTAAATATCCACTAAAATAGAACCTTCATCCCTGCATCAAAGTCTGCACCATTCGTGTTTGTACAGCCAGCAGGTAGTTTGCTTTGCTGACATCACTTATCCCCCCTGCCACGGTCTGCTACAGACTTGCTAAAATTCTCCCTTTCAAAGCTCCTTTAATGGAGGCCAGTGAGTGGGAAACACTCTCAGCTGTTTTTCAGTGTCTGAGATATCTTTATTTTGCCTTCAGCATTTTATGAAAGTTGCACTGGGAGTAACATTCAAAGGTAAATGTCTTCCCTGGGTTTGTTAAAGACGTCACTCCATTGCCTTCCAGGAGGCAGTGTTGCTGCTGAGAAGTCTGCCGTCAGCTCACATCTGTATTTTGGGTATGCTGTGTGGCTCTTCTTCCTGGCCATTTTGACTTTTTTCTCCTTTTCTGGATGATCTGCATTTCACTTTAATATGCTAGGAGTGGATTTCTCAATTTTGATCATTCCTTGGTTTGTAAGTGAGATCTGAGATCTCATGTCTTTTCAATTCTGGAGAATCCTGATCCATTATGTTGCTTTGTTGCCATTTTTAAAATGCTTTTCTTTGAGAACTCCTATTCCATTTATATTGAAACTTCTTTTTTTTTTTTCTTTCTTTTTTTCTTTCTTTTTTTTTTTTTTGAGATGGAGTTTCGCTCTTGTTACCCAGGCTGGAGTGCAATGGCGCGATCTCGGCTCACCGCAACCTCCGCCTCCTGGGTTCAGGCAATTCTCCTGCCTCAGCCTCCTGAGTAGCTGGGATTACAGGCACGTGCCACCATGCCCAGCTACTTTTTTTTTTTTTTTTTGTATTTTTAGTAGAGATGGGGTTTCACCATGTTGACCAGGATGGTCTTGATCTCTTGACCTTGTGATCCACCTGCCTCAGCCTCCCTAAGTGCTGGGATTACAGGCTTTAGCCACCGCACCCGGCTATATTGAAGCTTCTTGATCTATTCTCCATGTGTCCTAACTTTGTGCATGTGTGTGTGTGTGCATATGTGTGTACATGTGTGTATGTGTGCGTGCCTGTGTGTATATGTATGCATATGTATGTGAGTGTGGGTGCGTGTGTATGTGCATGAGTGCATGCATATGTGCATGAATGTGTGCATGTGTGTATGTGCATGTGTGCATGTGTGTGTGCACACGTGTGTGTGTGTGTGAGAGAGAGAGTTGTGTTTTCAGAGCTGCTGCACTCTGGTTGGTTTCCTCCACTCATTTTGTTACTAGCTGCAGGCTGGAGACTGAATCTACCTGTAACACCCCAATTCTCTTCCAGATTGCTCTGTCTTCAGTGACTTTGTTAGTAGTATCTTCCACAACACTAAGTCTCTTCCACTACGTCAAGTCTGGAATTGATCCTGTCTGTTGAGTTTTTTATTCACTTTATTATTCATCTTCAAGATTTGTAATGATTTCTATTTCATCTCTCGTGTTTCTTTTATTCTGGCCAGTTCTAATTTCATACTTTATATATTTTTAAATCGCTAGATATTTCAATCATACTCCTGCAGTTTTAAGGTAAGTGTCAGACTTTCCTTAGCTGGTATGAGTTCCTGCACCAACTGCTCATTTTAAGCCTGCCTTTCTCAGAGTGGTGTTGCCTTGGGTGATCTGGAACCTTGCCCTGCTAGCTCATTTCAAGGTGAGGACGTCAGGCCTCTGCATGTCTGCCTTTCTCCGCCATCTTGTTGAGCAGTGTTTCGTAGCCTCTGCCCCATTCCTGGGTCCCAGGCTTCTTCTCTGCGGTGATGTGGAGAGTGTCACAGATAAAGTCACCCTTTCTGAGGACGGCTCATCTCAGCTTCTGCTCTTGCAGCTGTGTCGCTGTCCTCTTGCCTTCCTGTGCCACGGAGTCCACTCAGTTATAAGAAGTTACAGCCCTGGATGTGTCAGGAAGGGTTTCCAGCCTCCTGCCTGGACTCAGGAAAGCCATACCCATCACTCCCAGGAGCTGGAGCCTGGCCTTCTCTGCCTTCCTTGGGACTTGGAGCCAACAGGCCCACCTCAGCCCCATCACCAGCCTGCGCTTCTCCTCCATTCCTGGTTTTATGTGAGTGTGTGCACATGCACGTGTGTGTGTGCATGTGTGTATGTATGCACATGCATGTACACACTCACCTGTCTTGGTCTTCTGTCTGTCTGACCTATTGCTGCTCTGTGTGTGGAGCAGAGAAGGTCCTATTGCACACCTTGCTGAGGAGTGTGGACACCCTCCTTAAATGCACATGATACCATGTTCACACAGGAGGGTCCCTCTTTTTCCAGGATGAATCTGAGGCCAAGTAACCTGCCCAGAGATGCAGGAAGTTCAGCTGAGCATCAAGCCCACGGCCCCCGGACTCCAACCCAAAACTCCAACCCAAAACCCCTTCAGTGGTGTGCACAGCAGCGTGTGTGGGATGGCTGGAGGGCACCTGTTACTGCCACACATCCCCAGGAGGCCTGCACACCCTTCACTCCCTTCAGTTTCCTCCCAGGTGAAATCTGTAGACTCGCTCCTCTGCACATGGCCCTGTCCGGATGATCCTGTGGGATTAACAAACTGTTCCAGCCTCCAACAATGGCACGTTATCTGCTCCATTGCAGAACTGGCTGTGTTTACATCCAGGAAGGGATTGGTCAGTCACCTGTGCCAGGTACCCAGGGGACCCTGAGCCCAGCGGTATAAAGGGCAGCCACGGGAGAAGCAGCACAGCCTCTCCCAGCCCCAGCAAGCCACCTGTCAGGCTGCCGTGAACTCAGACCCCGGAGATGAAGGTCCTGCTCCTGGCTGTCAGCCTCAGCCTCATTGCTGCCCTGCAGGCCCACCACCTCCTGGCCTCGGACGAGGAGATTCAGGATGTGAGGCTCGGATGAGAAGGGTGGGCTGGAGTGGGTGTGGGGTGAGGCTGAGACTGCTGGATGGAGACCCCATCCCTCCCCCTTTCAAGGAGACCCTCATTGTCGGGTTGGGCGTTAAAGCCCTGTCCCAAGGGAATGGTGAGAAGGGGCAGCAGGAGTCTAGGCTGGGGGGCAGGGGGCACAGAGGGGCAAGGCTGGGAGGGTGGGGGTCTGGCTGACTTCACTTCTCCCCTGGCGGTGAGGGCTCCTGTGGTCCTGGCTGAATTGCAGGGACTGGAACCACCTTCAGGTGGGCCTGGCAAGGTGCTGTGTGTTTTCTGGGTGGGTCAGATTGGGGGTAGAGTATGAGGGGGTAGAGTACCATGTGGGGTAGAGTATGAGGGCTACAGGCCAGGGAAGCGCGGAGAGGCTCTGGAGCGGTCGGCCTGAGGCTGATATAGAGGAACCTTCTCCAGGTGTCAGGGACATGGTATCTAAAGGCCATTATGGTGGACTGGGAGCTTCCTGAGATGAATCTGGAATCGGTGACACCCATGACCCTCACGACCCTGGAAGGGGGCAACCTGGAAGCCAAGGTCACCATGCTGTGAGTGTCGCCAGCTGGCCGGGCAGCCTGCAACCTGGTCTATGACCTTCGTTTCCCCACCTGGGAGCACTCTGGTGCTGGGGAGGTGGGCAGACCTGCTGGGAGGACCCTCTCAGCCCCTCCTGTAATGCTTGAGGGCAAACTGTGCCACTGAGATTCCTCGGCTGGAGGGGGCCTGGGGGGCAGAGGACCCAGATCAGACCCCGTGGGCTACCAGGGGCAGTGCTGGGTACTGCCCACTTCATTCGCCCACTGGGGAATGTCTGGTGCTATGCAGGACCCTTCGGGAAAAGGTATTTACCTTAGACCAGAGTCAGGCCTGCAGGCAGGGCCTATGGACTGTGGACTCGTAGCCCTGGCAGTAAATTTCTGCTTTGGAGAAGCGCAGGGATGAGGCTTGCAGAATGACCAAGAGGGGACGTAGGACTTCATGGAGAAGACCCCTTTGAAGTCCCTGTGTAGTGCTCACCTGTGCCACTTCCACCCACGTGGCTCACATCTGTAACTTCCCTCCTGTGTGGCCCCCACCTGTGCCACTTCCCACCTGTGTGATTTCACCCACGTGGCTCCCACCTGCACATCTTCCTACCTGTGTGATTTCACCCACGTGGCTCCCACCTGCACAGCTTCCCACCTGTGTGATTTCACCTGCATGGCTCCCACCTGCACATTTTCCCACCTGTGTGATTTCACCCACGTGGCTCCCACTTGTTCAGCTTCCCACTTGTGTGATTTCACCTGCATGGCTCCCACCTGCACCATTTCCCACCTGTGTGATTTCACCCACATGTCTCCCACCTGTGCAGCTTCCCACCTGTGTGATTTCACCCACGTGTCTCCCACCTGTGCAGCTTCCCACCTGTGTGATTTCACCCACATGGCTCCCACCTGTGCAGCTTCCCACCTGTGTGATTTCAACATGTGTGGCTCCCACCTGTGCCACTTCCCACCTGTGTGATTTCACCCACATGGCTCCCACCTATGCCACTTCCCACCTGTGTGACTCCCACCTGCGCCACTTCCCACCTCTGTGATTTCACTCACATAGCTCCCACCTGTGCATCTTCTCACCTGTGTGATTTCACCCACGTGTCTCCCACCCGTGCAGCTTCCCACCTGTGTGATTTCAGTATGTGTGATTCCTACTTGTGCCACTTCCCACCAGTGTGATTTCACCTGCGTGGCTCCCACCTGTGCAGCTTCCCACCTATGTGGCTCTCACCTGTGCCACTTCCCACCTGTGTGATTTCACCCACGTGTCTCCCACCTGCACATCTTCCCACCTGTGTGATTTCACCTGCGTGGCTCCCACCTGCACATCTTCCCACCTGTGTGATTTCACCCCCGCGTAGCTTCCCCCTGAGTGGCATACAGTGCCTGTGCTCCGGTCCTGGGGACCAGTTCTTAGGAAGTCACTGACCCTGGCAATGACCCTGATGTTTGTCTGTTTGTTTTCCCGAAAGCCCTTAACTCAACCTTTCCCTCTCTGGGCCAGACGATGGTGGACGTGGGGCTTGACCCTGAATATCTCCAAAAGGAAGCAAGCAGCTGGTAGGATGAGGGCTCAGCGCCATGCCACAGACACTGCCTGCAAACCAAGCAGCCAAGTCCCTCTGGCAGCAAACATGGCGGGGGGGCTAGGAGGGCAGCCACCGGGAGTGGTGCAGAGCTCCTGGCCACCTTGGGACACGCAGGAACTCCAGTGTGGCCTGGAGGGGCTACTGGCGCCTGGTCTGAGATGCAGAGAAGCACCCTCCTCCATGGGCGTGTGGCAGGCCCAGGGCCACCTTTGCAGGGCATTGTGGTGTGGCTGCTCCCAGGCCGAGGGAGGCACAGGCCAGGAATGCTTTGTCAGGGAGCTTGTTTTCCAGGATAAGTGGCCAGTGCCATGAGTTGAAGGTCATTCTGGAGAAAACTGACGAGCCAGGAAAATACACAGTTGGTGAGTCCTGGAGCCCAGGCCGGAACCTGAGCTCAGACACATGCTAAAAGTGGTGGTGGGAGGCAGCCAGTGCCTTTTGGGGTGGCCTTTTGGCCTGCTGCCTTCTGATCCCATTAAAAGCCCACTCTCCCCTCCTGCCGATCAATTTGTGTTAGAGACGTGAACCCTTGACCCCAAACACTAGGTGTGGCGGGACGGACCCTCTGGACTTTCCCTATAGCTCTTGCTGAGGCCCAGGTGGGGCCAGGAGCACAGTCATATTTGGCTGTGGGGGCTGTACCCCAACTCCCACCTCCGCAGACCTCACACCTGGAACCTCCCATGCCTCATTGGTCTGGGATGTGGCCGCCTCTCGGGTGCATTGGTTTCCTGGGAAGTGGGGGGTCCCATGGCCTGGGACTCAGGCCTGTTGGGAGACCTCTGGGAAGTTGGGAGGGTGCAGAAGCTGCGGGTCTTGCTGGGCCCAGCACTGCACGCTGTCCCAGGATCGTCTCTGAAGGCTCCAGTGGCTAATTCAGAACTGTGCTGCTGTCCTTCTGCAGACGGGGGCAAGCATGTGATGTACATCATCAGGTCGCACGTGAAGGACCACTACATCCTCTACTGTGAGGACGAGCTGCACAGGAAGTCGATCAGAGTGGTGGAGCTTGTGGGTGGGTCCCGAACCCCCACCCCGCGGCCCGAGCCTCTCTCCTGCCCTCCCTCCTCCCTCGGTCTCCTGCACCCTCTTTCCATGGGAGAAGCCACTGGGACCCAGGAACCTACTGCAGTTTCCTTAGGATGGGTTTTCCTGATAAAAGCCCCAGTTCCCAGCCCTGGAGTTCAGGATTCAGGATGCCCCAGCCTAGGTCTGCGGCAGAGGCAGGAAGGAGCCGCGGCTGTTGGCACAGGAGCTTAGAGGTCACACGTGTCACCAGGTGGACCGGGCCCTCCCCCGGGGCAGCTCCCTGCAGCGTCATCCTTGGGCGCGTTCCTGCGGGGTGTCCAGCAGGGGAGAGGAGTGGGGATGTGAGCAGGAGTCTGCGTGGAAAGGACCTTCCAGCTCCTGGGGTTGAATTCTGGCGCCTGCGGACAGTGGCGTGTCAGTGCCGTCCCTGCCTGAGGACGAAGCCCGAGGAGGCTCCTGAGTTCTCCCTGGAGCCAGGGGTGTGCGAATCACAGAGGAGTGGGACAGGCAGTGCCCTGCTGCCCCAGAGGGGAGAGGCGCTTCCCTCAAGGTGGGCCCGTCCTGCCATCCATCCATCCTCACTCTGGGAGATGCTCTGGCACAGACGGAGAGCCCTTCCCACTTCTCCCAGTTCTGCTGCCGTGGGAGTCTCCACGGTGAGCTGTCCACGGTGCCCTGGTCCCACTTTGCCAGCCAGAGGGCCTCTGGGTTCAAGTCCCCCCGTGGTGGGTGAGGTCCCCCTCCCCAGCCCAGCTGAGGCCTCCAGGCTGGGACAAGCATGCCGGCTACTGCCCAGTGCTGCCGGGAGCACCCACATCTCATCCTGGCACCCACAGGGAGAGACCCCGAGAACAACGCGGAAGCCTTGGAGGACTTTGAGAAGGCCGCAGGAGCCCGTGGGCTCAGCACAGAGAGCATCTTCATCCCCAGGCAGAGCGGTAGGAAGGATGGCCCTGTGGAGTCCCCATGTCCCTGCGTGGGGACATCAGCAGAGTCGCATTGCTCGGGCGCATAGTTGCGCTGCGTGTAATTCTGGCTTTGTCCTTCCTGGGGTGGTGGAGCTGGTGGCCGATGAGAGCCCCAGTCCTGACTACATTTCTGGGGTCTCCTGACTCACCTGTGCTTCCTTTTCCTGCAGAAACCTGCTCTCCAGGGAGCGATTAGGGTGAGTGAACAGCTTTAGAGGACGCTTGAGAAAATCCAGCCCTGGGGCTCAGTGGGGCTTCAAGAGGCCGAGGGGTCTCTCCCACCCACCCCACTCCTACCTGGGTGGGAGACGCCCCGCGTGGGCCAGGCAGGTGCGAACTCTGCTCCTGAGCTGCCTGCACTCGGGCACCCGCCTCTGCTCTTGCCCTGGGCATGACTCCTGGGCAGCTGGGAAGCCCGCAGTGCCAATCCCGCCTTTGCTGGATGCTGGCGGGGACAGTGTCTACCCTGCAGCCCCGTGCATGGGAGTAGACGGGAGATTCAGGTTCCTCCTCAGCACCCCTCACCCTCAGCCGTCCTTGTGACCCCGCTCACCCCATGAATTGCTCAAAGATTCATCAAAGTGGCAGGCGTGCCTGTGCTCGCGGCGTCAGATGGGCCCCTAGTTGGCTGCACGAGAGAACCAGAGGTTCAGAGACTCACCTGAGGTCACCTGCCCAGGTGTAGGCAGAACCAGAATCCCGACCGCATCGCTGTCCTTCCCACATCCTCCCGCTGGTCTGCAGCCACCCGACGCCTCTTCACTCAGCAGGGAGCTCTGTGGGCAGCCTGCGGGGGGGTCCCTGCACCATCTGCTCCAATCTGGAGGCTGGAGCCCCCACCTGCAGCCCCCGAAAGCTCAGTATGTGCCCCCCCACACCATAGCCACCGAGGGCCGGGCATGTAACCCCCACCATAGCCCCCAAGAGCCCACATGTGTCCCCCACACCATAGCCCCTGAGAGCCCTGCGTGTGCCCCCACACCCTAGCCCCTGAGAACATGCATGTGCCCCCCAAACAATAGCCCCTGAGAGCCCGCATGTGCCTCTGCCCGGCAGTCCCCTAGAGCCCACATGTGCACCCCACACCATAGCCCCTGAGAGCCTGGCATGTCCCCCCACACTGTAGCCCCTGAGAGCTCACATGCACCCCCACACTGCAGCACCCAAGAGCCTGCATTCGCCCCCACGAAGCATCCCCTTCCCACCCTCCCTGTCCTGGTCTCACTCACCCTCCCCCCCTTTCTAGGGCAGAGGGCACCTTGGCTCCTCAGCAGCCCAAGGACGGCACTACCCAGCACCTGCGTCGTTCACAGGGACATGGAGAAAGTCCCCTCCCCCTGCAGAACCCGGGAAGCTGCACCCCTTCCTACCAGCTCCCGCCTTCCTCCTGCTCTGTGTCCCCCCCCCAGTTCTTCATAAAGAGCTTCAGCAGTTCCTGGTGACTCCGCCTATCTGTGGGGTCCTCTGGGGTGGGGGCTGGCTGGGTGCTCCCTTGGGTGCAGGGAGAGGGTGGGAAGTGGGAGGAAGGACAGGGGACCAGCCTCGGCCCAGTTCTCCGTGGTGGGTGCCACAGGCCAACGGTGTGAGGGGCCTGGTGGGCGGGTGGGTGCGGGGGGCTGGGCCTGAGGGTCCCGGGGTGCTTCCTGCAGGTCAGCCGCCCACGGAGCTCAGGCTCTGGTGGAGGGCAGGGTGGGACAGGGCTCTGCTCCTCGGTCCCGCACAAGTAAGACCCACAGGCCTAAGACCCAGCAGTAAGACCCGCAGGACCAGGCAGGGCCACCTGGGCCCTCAGCACGGACCCTGAGTCTGGATGTGGGGGGAGGGGACAGCAGCTCCAGGCTGGATCTTACCAGCCCTGTCCTCAGGCGAACCTCACCAGCTCTGTCCCCCAGGGCCTGGCCCGACGCTGTCCCTCTCTGTGCATGGGCAGCTTTGGGACAGCACGTTCCCAGCTTGGGGGCAGCCACCACAGGTGCCACCTCATGCAGGTGCCTTTCCTGAGCCTGGCAGTTTGTAGGATTTAAAGTTTCCTTAGACGGCACAGCGCCACAGTCATGCTGGGAGGGAGGAGAGGCAGACTCTTAGTGACTCGCTGCTCCGCAGGAGAGGGCGGCGGCCCAGAAGGGCCACACGGGTTGGCTTGTGCCCGGGACAGGACAGTAGCCGTTGGAGCTCAGGGGCAGCCTATGTAGAGGGAGCGGAGGGGGTAGTGGGTGAGGACGCGGCTGCCCGTGGCCAGCTAACAGGAGTCATTTCTCTGATCCAGGGCATAGGGGCCGTCCCTGATTGTCTGGTACCTGGCCTTAGGGCTGGTGGGGAGTGGCCCCCAAGAGGGCCTATCTGACTAGGGCAGAGCTGCTGTGTGGACCAATCAGCTGCTCAGGAAGAGGGGGGTGCCCTTAGCCAGGCCTGAACACTGCTTCAAGGCTGCATTTTCAAAAAAGTCGATTCTGGCTGGGCATGGTGGTTCGTACCCATGTTCCCAGCACTTTGGGAGGCCGAGGTGAGAGAATCACTTGAAGCTGGGAGTTGGAGACCAGCCTGGGCAACAGAGCGAGCCCCCATCTCTACCCCCCTGCCAAAAATTAGCTGGGCTTAATGGCACACACCTGTCGTCCCAGCTACTTGGGAGACTGAGGTGGGAGTGAAGAGGGAGACCCAGGCATCTCAGATCAACTTCCCCTTTTCATTCCTAAGGCTAGAAACCGAAGCCCTTTTCATATGTAATTCCTAAGACTGTAAACCGAAGCCCTTTTCATATGTTAAGCTATGAACCTAAGATTCTTCCACGTGTAACATCTAAAGTATAAGCCTATATAAAGAAGGAAACTTTTGTTAGGCGAGCTTGGATATTAGGCAAATATGCCACCTTGCTCCTGGCCGAACAGACTCCTTCCTCCAATATTCAGTGTCTGAGAGTCTGTTTCCTGCGGCCAGTCTTGCAACAGGAGTATTGTTTGAGCCCAGGAGATGAAGGCTGCAGTGAGCTATGAACACGTCACAGCATTTCAGCATGGGAGACAGAGAGACACCCTGTCTCAAAAAATAAGATGAAAAATAAAAGAAACCTGATTCCGCTTGGGCTCCGCTTTCTGTATCTCAAGATGAAGCTTGGTTCTTACAAGGGACCTGAGGTTCTCGTAGCTGATGCCACCCATGCCCAGCTCCATCTCCCATCTGCCAGGCTCCAGGAGTGACATGGCTGCAGCGGGTGGATGTGACCACGCGGGCCGGCACCGCACCAGTCTTCAGACGCCGCGCCGATGAGGGCGAAGAACCCGTGCACGCACGTGTAGCTCAGAAAGTGCTGCGTGCCCTGTACGACCTCCACGGGGAAGCCAGCACCCGCCTCTCCCATAGAGCCAGTGCCAGAGCCGAGGCCGGGTAGCAGTCTGGGTGACTATGCAGAGAGGAGAGCGTGAAGGGGCAGCAGTGATGGAGGAAGACAGATGCCCCACCTGGGGGGCACCCCAGCAGGGAGCAGCCCTCACTACGTGCGGAGATTTGAACTCTCACATGGACCAGAGCGTGACTGCGCCGGAGCTGGACAGGGAGCTCTGGACCCAAATTGACGCCTCCATCAGTCCCTTCCAAAGGGAGTTTGGGAGGCCCTGGACCGGAATGGACACCTCAGGGAGGCGCAGGGTCTGGTGCAGAGGGGCCGTCTGGAGAGGAGGTGTAGAGAATGGTGGGGAGGAAAGTGGCTGTGACGAACGCGGTGAAGAAGGAGGACCGGGCGGGGTGGGGCGGCGCCTTGGAAGATGTGGCGGAAGTCCGGGGCCACCCGTCAGCCCCAACGGCTCCGTTCATCCCAATTTTATCTCAAGCACGTGCTGGATTTTTCCTTATCCCTCTCTGCATTATTTTACAAGTGGCTGCTCTAGGGGTGACGGTGACGTCCTTAATTCACGGTGGACTTGGAAAGAGCACTGCATCCCTGACTTAAAACGTGACGACCTTGTGATCGCACAGGTGCGTCCTCCCCGCTCTGCCTCGTGCCACTGCTTTTACTTTTGAAGGATGTTTTCAGCAGATACAGAATTCTCGCTGGGGCACGATGGCTCACTCCTGTAATCCCAGCAGTTTGGGAGGCCGAGGCGGGAGATCACCTGAGGTCAGGAATTCGAGACCAGCCTGGCCAACATGGTGAAACCCCATCTCTACTAAAAATATTAAAATTAGCCAGGCGTGGTGGCACAAGCTTGTAATCCCAGCTACTTGAGAGGCTGAAGCAGGAGAATCGCTTGAACCTGGGAGGCGGAGGTTGCAGTGAGCTGAGATAACACCACTGCACTCCAGCCTGATCAGATCCAGAAATGACCAAATTACGTCTAAAGAAAGTAGAAGAAAGGAAATAAAGAAACTGACAATGGAGGAGGCAGATGGGGTGGCGAGTGTGCACCCCCACATTCGGAATCCCTGGCCGTTTGGGTTCTATGCCAGCTCTGGGCTTATTGCCTTCGGTTTCTAATGGTGCTTGATTATCCTGTGTGCGCCTGGAGCGGGACCCTCAGACGCTTCTCCTTCGTAGCGGGTGCACTGTTGGGTCTCGGTGGCCGAGGGCGCTGGGGCTCGCTGGAAGAAGGGGCTTCCCTTTACATTCAGGGGTCTTGTTCTTCCTTCTCTGTCCTGAGGAGCTTGGCTGGCAAGCGGGATGCCAGGTGAGCTCAGCCCCAGTGAAGTCAGCAGCAGCCCCATGGGTGGCATTTGGTGAGTTCTTGGGTTCCCAAAGTCAGCGAACTTCTCTGCGATCCCGGCGGCCACAGACACACCCTCTCCAGGGAGGCCTGAGCGCCTTCCAGGTTGTTCCTCCCCGGGTGCTCGGCCTCAGCCCCGGGGTAGAGCTGGCTCCGTTTCTGCTTTTGCTGTGGGTTTAGGGTCCTCTTTACCGGTGGCAGCCCCTTTTCTTTCCCCAGTCGGGAGTTCTTTACGGTAAGCTTTGCCTTTCGAATGACGGCACCACCTGTCTCTGACACCCTCCCTCTGTGCGAACCACGGCCTTTACTTTCTGAATTTGGACGCACTGACGTCTGGGGCCTTCCCCAGCCTGGAGGAAGTGCTTCTCCTGGAGCTGGCGAATTTCTAGAAATAGCAGATGGCTTGTCTGTAAGGGTGCCTTCCATAGGCAAACCAGCCAGTCCAGAGCCCACACCCTCGCCAGGGCAGGTACCAGACACTAGGGACAGCCAGTCCCCACACCCCAGGGCCGGGACATGATGGAAACCAGCCCGCCCTGAGCGTGTTCGCCCTGCTTCCTCCATTCCTTCCCGTGGAAACGTGGCAACTGCAGTGCAGGCTCTGCCCACACTGTCCTCCTGCCCGCCCCCTCCCCGTGCCTCCCCACAGGCCCTGGTGCTTCCTCGAGCCCCGCCCCTCCTGTTTCTAGGGGCCTGAGTATCATAAGCCTTCGTCCTCAGTCATCCCATGGCTGTGTCTTCCCCTCCCAGCCTAAAGCAAATCCTGGGAGCTCTTCAAACGCTTGCGGCCCAGAGTCCTTTCTCCTTGTTACGTGGAGCCATCCCAGCGTCCCAGCCCCTGTGAAGGAGGTGGCAATGCCCGCTCAGCCAGTCCTGGAGCCACAGTTAGAGCTGCTCTCCCATTAAGCCAATGCGTGAATCCGGCATTTTGGATTCAACGTCAACCATGAGCCACGCTGGACGCTAGTTACCGTGCTGAGGGCAGCTTTTATTCAGCAGCTTCTGAGAGCCAGGGACTGGGTTCCATGCCACTTTGTGCAGGGGTGAAGGGGTGCTGTGAAGGGAGAGTGGGGGTGCAGAAGAGAGTGGGGGCTCCAGTGAAAAGTCACAGGGCTGGTCAGGGTGAGTGCAGCGGGGTCAGCTGTGTGGCAGTTATGGAAGGCAAGACTCTTCCGCCGACAGAGTCTGGGACACGGAGGCCCACTCTTCCCGAAGATCACATTTCTAAGGAATGGCTCGCAGGTCCTTGAGAATAACCTTTTTTTTTTTTTTTTTTTTTTGGAGACAGAGTTTTGCTCTGTCATCCAGGCTGGGTGCAGTGGTGCTATCTTGGCTCACTGCGACCTCCTCCACCTCCCAGGTTCAAGCAATTTTCCTGTCCCAGCCTCCCGAGTAGCTGGGATTACAGGCACCTGCCACCAC